ATAAATCTCGCGTTTCCCCGAGAGGATTACACGCGTTTCCTCTCGCGCGAGCAACGTCATGGGCGCTTGTTAACGGTGCTTTAATGCGACCGCGCATTATCGCGCATTGGCGAACGCAGATCGAAGCTCAACAAATCCGCGAACGCGGTGTAACGGCGAATGTTCGCGGGAAAAACGAGCGAGATGGAAAGAGAGGGAATGATCTGGACCGCGTCCAAACGTAATCAGAAACTATCGTCGTCGTCGGCTGGGCTCGCGTCGCGCGCTCGCCAAAGTACCGCGCGCCAAAAGTACGAAGCGATCGTCCAGAGCCGAGGGAGCTCATATCGACCGGCCGTTTTCCGTCGCGCGGAAACCGACGGCCAACGGCTCTCCGCCGTTCCTGCGAGATGCAGCGCGAACGGCTCCGCCGTGATTCTCCACGTTGCGACACGGATGCAGATTACGTGACAGTGAACGAGAGCAATCGTACAAAATGAACTGCCACTCGAGATATAAATCGGAGCGCGCAGGATTGCGGCGGAGCGTCGAGCCAGGATTACAATCGCACTCGGCGCGGATCTGTTTTGGCACCTCGGGCGATTGCCTTCCCAGGCTTTCTAGCCGGATCGACCTTGAACTTGGCGTGCTCTTCGTCCAAGTGTCGAACGATCGTGAACGTGAGCTCGAAGTCGCCCACGACGAACGCCCAATCGCGACTGTCGAGCCAGCCAAATCGCGGTCGCGGGCCGGCCTTCGCCGAAAATGACAGTCCGCGCAATCCTCGGAATTCGCTGATGAAATCTCGAGAATGCTCTGGTCATATTCAGAACAATATTGCGCGTGACGAAGACGAGAATAATTCGAGCTCATGGAGAGTTGAAGGCAAAGGAAGGGAGGCACAGACAGAGAGACAGAGAGAGAGAGGAAAGAACTCGGAGACGTCGACAAAGACGTCGCAATGCGCGCGACAAACTGATCGCGAAGCTCTTTTATTTAACGGAAACGTTTGATTAACGTTCGAAGGAGGAAACCAAGTTTCGCGCTCGAACTAGCGCGAGTTGCGCGTATGCCCTCCTCTTTCTCTCTCCCGCTCCATTTCTCTGTCTAAAACAAGGGGGGGTGGTTAGCGCGACGTGTGCCAACGCGCGTTAACAATGCGCGGGATATTAAGTGGAAAGGAGCTTTTAATATGCAACGTCGTGTCTTTTATGAAACGAGAGAAAGTCGGTAAAATATTTTCCTCGCGCAGATCAGGTGGAAACAACACCGGAGTGACGCGACGCGGCGGAGCACAACGGAGGTTAAAATTTGATGCAACCTCGCCTAGGTTACACGTGAGAAGTCGAGCGCTTTCGAAACAAAAGCGCCGCTCTGTGACGTAAGCAATTGCGAGCGAGCAAGCGCGTGCCGCGCTGACTTCGCGAACCTCCTTGCCCCTCCCCCCTCGCGGATGCATTGTACAGCGTTGATGAGGTGAATTGTAATAATCATGCAACAGTTGTATATACAAAGCCACTCTGAGAATAACAGCCGCAGGTAAAAATAACGAGCGAGAGCGAGAGAGAGAGAGAGAGAGAGAGCCGAGAAAGAGAAGAGAAAGAGAAAGAGAAGCCGAGCGAGAGAAAGAAACGAGCCGTGAAATCTCGAAACCGCCGTTCCTGAAGAAGAAAAAAAATCCCGCGCTATCAAGGTGTGATCGCGTTCCGAGTGGAAGCATTCGAGAAACTCGCTCGCTCCCTGTTTCTCTCTTTTTTTTTCAGTTTCTATGTGAAACATAAACCTCGTCGGATCGGGTGTACCGCGCGATGATAACGCATGATTAGGCAGCGCGCTGTGTAAGTAGCGAGGCTCTCGCGTAATAACGCGAGAACCGGCGTTGCGCGCCGCGTACTCGTCGTACACGCCCTTTCGCAGAGGCGACTAGGTCGCCAGCTGGTAAACCGGCAACTTGCAAGTATCGTCGTCGTCGACGTCGTCGGGGAGAGACGACACGAGACTGCCTCGCGCTTTTCCCCTTCGTCCTTCGTCGCGCTCGCTCTCTCGCATGGCGTTTCAAAACGGAAGAGACAAAGAGCTCGAAGTCGCGAAACAATGAGGCCTGATATCGCTCGGTTGAACTAGCTCTCTTCTCTTTCTCTCTCTCTCTCTCTCTCTCTCTCTCTCTCTCTCTCTCTCTCTCTCTCTCTCTCTCTCTCTCTCTCTCTCTCTCTCTCTCGCGTTTTCACGCTACCAGTGTCGCCGTCGCCGTCGCCATCGTCAACGACGACGACGACGACTACTACGACTACAACGACGTCCCCGTGTTGTTGTGCGTACATCGGGACGTTTATCTAACGGCGTACAATTATCGTCCCTGAAGAACTCAGCCACACCAGACAGTCTCTTTTTCCCGCCTTATAGAATCCACGTTTTAGCGCTCAGGGGGCGACGCGAGCACTCGCTCGCTCGTGACCGGGATGTAATTAATCCTCGACGCGTTAGCCACGAGCGCTGAAGATGAATGCGCGGAAAGATGTCGCGCGCGTCTTCTTATGAAGACGCCGCGAGAGGACGAGTGGAATTTCGCTCTTGTTTACGCGATATAAAAGCGCGACATAATGCAGATCCGCCAGGCTCCTCCGCCTTGCTCCCGTCGAGTTTTCGGTATTTTAGATTCTCTCTCGCACGCGCGCGCCTTAGGCGGCCGACAAAACTTTCACGGGCGCGACGACGTCGACAACGACGTGGCGGAAACTACCGAAATTCCGACGGATTATATAAGGTCGCCTTAATTGTTCGAGTGCGTGTGCTCGTTATGTGCCAGAGATGTGCGAGAAACCGCTTCCGTGTTGGTGAAAAACGTACGGACGTTTGCGAAGGGACGATTAAATTCGGCCGGCCGCGGCCGAACGCTTTTCGTTACGAATGGAAATTCCTGTTTAATTTGAGCAAGAGCCGCGGCTGAAAAAATAACGCCGATAACGGCCGTATCACGGCGGTCCGCCGACATAATTGTCGTGCGCGGAGCTGTTGCCCTCATCTCCGTCGAAAGCTCGCTCCATCTACCCTTCCCCCCACGTCCCTGCCGCTTTTCTCATTTCCCGGCTAATTTTGCGTCCGCGCCATCGTTACATGTCGATAGGAGCGAAGTCGCGCCGAGCGCTACGCGAATTATGACACATTCGCGAAACGGCGCGCCAATTACGAGACGCGAGGCATCTCCCGCGCATTCGGTTTTTAATGATCTGCTGCGAAAGAATGGGATCTCTTTCTCCACGCAAAAAGTTCAAGTGTTGCATTCACACAGACAGACTACTCTCGCGCGCCTTCTTAAACCGCGCTCTTAGACATTCTTATTCCCCCAAACGTCGTATCCCTCTCTCTCTCTCTCTCTCTCTCTCTCTCTCTCTCTGTCTCTCTCTCTCTCTCTCTCTCTCTCTCTCTCTCTCTCTCTCTCTCTCTCTCTCTCTCTCTCTCTCTCTCTCTCTCTCTCTCTCTCTCTCTCTGTCTCTCCTCTCCTCTCTCCTCTCTCTCTCTCACTCTCTCTCCCTCTCCCCCTCCCCTCCCTCTCCACTCTCTATATACCCCCCTCTCTCTACCTCTCCCTCTCCCTCCGTCCCTCCCTCCCCTCCCTCTCCCTCTCCCCTTTCTCTCCCTCCCCTACCTCCTCTATTCCCCTCCCGCTCTCTCTCTCCATCCCCCTCTCCCCCTCTCTCTCCCACCCCTCTCTCCCCTCTCCCTCCCACCCCTCTCTCCCCCTCTCCCTCTCTCCCCTCTCTCCCTCCCTCCCTCCCTCCCTCTCTTTCTCCGGACTGGATACAACGGTTGCGCAAATCTAACCGCAAGATCTAAACGCTCCGAGGCGCATGAGGATATCCCGCGAGATAATCTCGACCACTCTCTCTTTCTCTACGGTACAAAAATCCCCGGATCGTTCCGACTCGTTCGAAGATCGTCGCGAATTCAGGAGCCCGCGCTCCCTCCTCTCGCGACAGTTTTTTGGTGCGTAATCGTAATTGAGATCCACTTCAGAAAAAAAAAGAAAAAAAAAAGAAAAAAGAAAAAGGGAATGGCTGTCGCGGGGAGGGTAATCAGCTTGATCAGAAGCAGACAATTACGCGTAATTATAGCGGCGCCGTGCAATTTCTCTTTCGATCCGACGCGGCGCTCTTTACGAAGTAACGCGCCGTTTAATGCCCGAGGAGCGCGAGTTAACGCGCGAGCGATAAAACCGAAGTTGAACGGCGCGCGCAGCTACGCCCAGACAAGAATAAGAGACGAGCCTCTTCTTCCTCTCTCCTCTCCTCAAGGCGCCATCCTGTGCGTCCCGGACGTTATCTTAATATTTTGTGCAAGAGGCAATGAAACTTAAACGGTCGCGGTAGACTCGGCGGTGTACTTTACGAGAGATAGCGCGGGAGGAACTTGGCTCTCCTTCACGCACACCGCTCATGTGCGCTTCCTCTCCCCCCCCTCCCCCCAGCCGATGAAATACGGCGGAACGATACTAAATCTCACGCGCGTTTGGGGTAATTAGTATTTGCTCATTCTGATGTCGCGCCCAGTCAGCCAGGACTCGCGGCGTCTCACGTCGATCTCGTTTCGGCGCGAGAGCAATAAAGCGATAAAGATTCTCGACGGAGAATCGGCCTCATTCTCCGGCGGGAGTCCCGCGAGCTCCGCGAATTGGACTTTGACGCGGAACCTGTCGGGTACCGTTTCGTCATCGTGGACGGAAGAGACACGGCTGAAGTGGCCGACGAAACTTCGCGCGAGACACTCGCCGTGACCCGCAAAAAAATGGAACGTCAAGATTGTCATCGTCGAACGGCCCAGCGCGCTCGTCTCATCGCATTTATAAACACGTTAATTATGACGATCGATGCGAAGGAGAATCGCAAATATGTTTAGCGCGCGTAGTTGGAGCGATCAGACAGCAAGTTTCGCGCGCGCCGAAGGGCACTTCATCGCTCTCTCTCTCTCTCTCTCTCTCTCTCTCTCTCTCTCTCTCTCTCTCTCTCTCTCTCTCTCCTCTCTCTCTCTCTCTCTCTCTCTCTCGATTAACGATCCGATCGTTTTCGAGATTTCGGCTCAAGTCGTCTCGCCCGCGCGCGCTCTCGCTTCGCTCGCGAGTCGGTCACTGTCTCGAACGTGAAACGACCGCTGTCTTTCCTTCTTCCTTCCCACCACGGGCGAAAGGCGAAGGCAGGCAGCGACGGGCAAAAGCAAAAGTCAACGTACGTACGTACGCTCAGTTCCGCTCCGGGACGGCGAAGGTACTACCGACGGCGTGGCATCGAAAGGAGTCAGTTTCCGCGTGGTCTTCGGCGCGTCAGTCACGCCAGGTGCTATTTTGCCCGCCGCTACCTGCTCGCCGCGCGTGTCCATCCTTGCGAGAATAAACACGGGCGCAAGGTGCAAGGTGTGACGTATTATAAACGAGAAAGGGGGGAGAAAGAGATGCGGCCGCTGTTCCGCAATGTTCCGCGCGGCCAAGTCGCGGTACTCTCGCTGGGTGAGTAGTACGAGAATCCGCGAGAATTCGCGCGCGACGCTTCTCCGACGGCGTTATTAGTTGTTGCGGCAAGTTGCGAATCGGCGAATTCACGCTCCGATAGGCAGCCCAAGTCCAACTACGCGACTCGATTTTCGCGGCGAAGCGACGCGACGCCGCCAAAGACGTGACGTGAAAATCGAGCCGACAACGCGCGGCTCCTCTATCGAGGAGAAAACTCACGGATACGCGGCGATTGTACGTACATATAATCGATCGGCGGCGACCCTCCCGACGAATCACATCGCGACCAAGTTACAAGGGAGAATCTGGGGAGAAGTCTGATCGTTAACCCCCTTCACATGAGACGAAATTTGGAAAATTTCCTGATCGCTCGGCAAGGTTCACCTTCGATGCTAATCACGTTGCGAGCACGAGAAATCGCGGAAAATGTTTTGCGGGAGCACCGTCGAAGCTCGCGTGTGTCTCGCTTGTCGATGTCGCTGCCATTATAACGATCGTCAAGAGATGCATTCTCGATGCGGAATGCACGCCCGCCTGGTGTAAAGCGCATCCCACGGCGGTGTAAACACGCGCGCGCTCCCCGACACGTGCCGAGGTCCCCGGGGAATCTCTCCGGAGAATCGAGGGTAACTGGTTAGCACCGACTACGGTCTATATATCCGTTTCTCCGCAGCTCGGAGAGCCGCAAACACGGCGGAACCGTATCTCCGGTTGACGTCAGGCGTATCGTCCCCTCACCACCGTCGCCGTCGCCGTCGCCGTCGCCGACGCTGCTGCTGCTGTTGCTGCTGCTGCCGATGACGACGACGACGACGACGACGACGACGACGACGACGACGACGACATCGGTGGCGGTGGCGGCAGCGGCAGCGGCAGCGTCGGAACACCACGGGGAAATCAAGCGTTCTCCGCTTTTATTTGCATAAAATGATGGGACTGACCACGTCACGTTCGAAACGTCGGCCTCGCTGATTTTCCCTGCGAATTTCATTATTCCCCAGCACACCTCGCCCGTACGATCGTACGACCGTCCGCCGTCCGTCCGCTTACTGCCCGTGTCGCGGCACTTCGATTCCGCGGGAACAACACGCGGCGACGATCATTAAGCCGGATGCAAATGGGAAAACGCGCCAAGAAATTCCCGCCGCGAACCTCTCTCTCTCTCTCTCTTTCTCTCTCGTCGTCTCTGTCTGTTCTCTCTTGTCGAGTGTTCTCCCGAGCCACGAGGAGAAAAAATGTCGACGTACGACCGAGAGGAAAGTCGCAGTCGCGACAACATTCTCGTCATTTTCCCGGACACGTCGCGAAGCTGACGGCGATTATTTCCCACGTCCCAGTCGAAGAGAAGAAGTTTAGCAGACCTTCGGGGAACCCGAGCATCGCTGCAACTCGCGGATATTGCTCCAACGCACGGTCGAATCAAACGAGCGTTCCGGAGCGTGGCAAGGATGTCAAGGCAACCGGTTTACGGCCGTATGCGTTTTTTCGCTCGCCGTTCGCTCCGCGCGCGATTCGCGCCAATTTCGTGTGAATCTCGCGCGTTCCCGTTTTTCTACCTCTTTCTCGTCCGAGCGACGCGACGTCTCGCGAAATGCAAAACAGCCGAATCGCGGATTCATTCGCCGCGCGCGCTCGGATATTTTTAATTCGCGCACGCGCGCGCGCGCAGGTGGTACGCGAGAATGGAGGAAAAAATCGCTTTTGCAGTGATTGTAATCGTGACAGTGGCGAGCGGAGCGGAGCGGAGCGGAGCGGAGCGATACGTACGTACGTACGTACGTGCCTGTACAAACATTATCGGGCCGATGGCTCGGAATCCGGCCGGCACTATCATCCGGTTGCTATCCCAACCGAGCAGCACTTAATCCCGGCAAATATAGTCGGAATTCCGCAGCATTGTTGCGCGCATACGACGAGCAGATTTGAATATTACCGTTGCGCATCGTCATACTAATCGCCGCTCTCTGTCGCTCGGCTATACTGCGATTAATTATCGGCTGAGCGCGCGTAATCCACACAGATCGCGATCGCGAGCGCGAGCGAGAGAAACTTGGGACAAAATCAATTTTCGTCGGGATCTTCCAAATCCTTTCTGCTAGAAGCGTTATTCGCTAATCGTCGCTCCCGACGACCATATTTCCGCTCCCGACGATCGGGAACGTCATCGTGTAAATCCCACTAAATATTAACGTCGCGCGGACGCGCGCAGCTCTGGACTGGATTTTAGCGTAATGGCTGAATCCCATTTCTCCCTCCCATTTCTTTTTTCGCTTTCCGCTGTCGAAAATCGAAACTTTTCAGTTTCGCTCTGATCGAGTCATGTCGAGCAAGAGAAAGGAAAAGTAAGGCAGACAGACAGACACACACACACACACACAGAGAGAGAGAGAGAGAGAGAGAGAGAGAGAGAAGGGGGGGAGAGAAGGAGACAGAAAAAGAGAGGAAAGACGGTCGGAGAGAGTAGCCGGACAAGTCCTTGATACGAATACAGAATGCACTCGAGAGATAATCTCCGGCGCCGATCAGCGTCTTGGAGAAGCAGCCGCGAATTAAACGGCGGAGGTACGCGACTGCCAGCTCTGACAGTTAATCTTGGAAACTCGCCAGTGCCAAGGGGTAATAAATCTGTCAGTCGGGCGACCAAAATTAAGTGGCTAAAATATTTACGCGCGCGCGGTCTGCACGGGAGATGTAATCAGCGGAATTTATGAGGTCTCGCGGATACGCTCGCGTGATCGGGACGGATTAGAGATCGACTCGCATCGATCGACACTCGTTGCGACCGAATCCCTTTGACTACCGCATTACACACGCTATCTTTAAAGCAGCGGTAGCCCGCTGCTTCTTTGCGAAAATCAGACGACGACGACGACGACGACGACGACGATAACGTCGCCGGCGGCGGATCAGCGATGAATTTTTCAGCGCGCTTAAACCAGAGATCCCCGGCTCGTCGAGCACCGTCGTCGTCGACGCGCAGGTTCGCCAGGGTACTACACGTGGGTGGCTCCCCCGCTCGCGCACATCGATATCGATGGGCCCAGGAGCGTATCCATTAAATCCTCCGATGCCGAAGGCAGCAATGCTCCCCGTTGTAAATGCGATACGTGAGCCAAAGATCCTTACGATCGCCCGTACGAGCGGCAAACGCTGACAAAGGTCTTCAGAAAGCTCCCCGCGAGCCCGCGTTCGTTTCTACCTTTGCTGCACGAACGACCACCCCTTGTCGTCCCCCGATAGTCATCGTCGTCGTCGTCGTCCGACGATACGCGCGCACACACACACAACGCACGAATACGTCCACGCGACTGGTCGTGAAACTCGGCGCGCGAGCGGGCGAGACGGTATTTCATCGTGTTACGTGCTCGCCGGGCTTCGATCGTTTTTCTTCTTACAACGGAATCGGTTTCCGCCGACGAGGCGGCCATAAAATTTAACGATGTTAATTCGGGGCCCACCCCGGAATTCGTACCGCCGCGAAACAACCACGAGCGCCGGGCTACGTCGAATATTCGGTCGAGGCTGTAACGTCGAGAGTCTCACTCCCGCCCTCGTTCGCCCGCTAATTCGTCGGCGGAGCTTTGTCGGTGTTTTATAGCGCACCGCGGTCTCAAAGTCAAATATTAGCCCGAGGCTTTCGCTTGAAAGAAGCGAAAGAATATCGTACCGCAAGCCATTGCGCTTCAAGAACGCTGTTCAAATTTCTCGTAAGAAATCATCCCCTTATTAAAAGGATCTTCTCTCTCTCTCTCTCTCTCTCTCTCTCTCTCTCTCTGTGTTTTTTTAAATCAGCGTTGAAACTGGCGGGGAGAACTGCTTTGAGAATTGAGAGAAATTAAGCAGCACTTAAAGTACTTTGGAATATAACAAAATATAATGCAACGGACGATTTTTTACAACAGACGAGAACGGGAGACGGAAATGTACGCGCGCCGGGAAATGTGAGCGTAGAAAGTGGTGCACACGGCCGAAGATTTCGCTCGCGCAATATTCCGTATGCAACGTGTGGGTGTTTACGCGAGTCACCTCAAAGCAAGGACTCTCGTCCTTGCGCGTACGTTGTCGCCGCCCGCGCTCCACTCGCAACTTCCCCGGCGATTTTCAGCGCATCGCGGGCTACTTAAAATACGTATGCATACGCCAGGTACGTCCGCCGGCCCGGCACGGCGTGCCGAACCGGTCGAAGACGCGGCGGATTGAATAATCACCGGACTCAGACGCGGCGAACACACGCGACGGCTCCTTCCGACTTGGCGCACCTGCCGCCGTCACCGACGCGTTTGACATCGCGTTCCCAACGGACCCACACACACACACACACACATTCACAGCCGGCTACAAATGGCTTTCACACTCCCGGACTTGCTCAGGAACGAATTGAAGAGATCCGGATGACGAATCCGACGAAAGTTTATTAGTTACCACGGGGTCCGGCTTGAATCCCCCCCCCCCCCCGCGTGACAAGTAGTAATTTATATTCGCAACAAGTTTCGTTACCACGCCGGTAACGAAATATAGAGCACATGCGCGCGACGCGTCTCGCGGGCTTTCGGCCATGCGCTAACAAGGTTACTTGTGCTCGCAGAATTGCGCTGAAATACGTTAATGACGTGGCGGAAAAAAAAAAGGAAGAGAAAGACGGCGAAAGGAGGGAAGGAGGAAGAAAGAAGAGTCGGAGGCAGCCTGCAGCGCGCGCGCGCGGCCTCTCTTTTCCGTCGACGTCGCGACGCAATTCGCAACGCGTGCACGCACGTACGCATGCGATGCAAGCGTGTCAATTGCGCTCGCGCGAATCCACGTGGGAAAGCCGGAGGTGCGCGTCATCTCCGAGCGTGTGCGCGCACATGGGAAATCCTCGTTAACGCGGCGCGATCGCTGTTGCGTCGCGATCATTTCCATGCTCGTCGCTCATTGTCCGTCACACGAGCGCGGTAAGACTTACACAAGCGAGCTGTTCCGTCTTCATCAATCTTACCGTTCGTGCCGAATCACCGTAA